CTGGGTCTGGGCGGCGCCCGGCACGACGGGGCCCTGATCTCAGCTGGGCAGGGACCCTCTCTCGCTGGGTCTGGGCGGCGCCCGGCACGACGGGGCCCTGATCTCAGCTGGGCAGGGACCCTCTCTCGCTGGGTCTGGGTGGCACCCGGCACGACGGGGCCCGTATCTCAGCTGGGCAGGGACCCTCTCGCTGGGTCTGGGCGGTGCCCGGCATGATGGGGCCCCGATCTCAGCTGGGCAGGGACCCAGCCTCCCCGGTGCAGGCCCGTGCGCGTCCCCCACTCCCTGCCCTTCCAAACGGCCCCAACAGCACCGCCATGGGAGAGTCCAAAGCTGAAACCGAGGCACCGCCCACCGGCCCTTCCATGGTGAGATTTGAACTTGGGGCTCCCCGGACCAGCACTGAGCCGGCTGCTACCAGCAAAGGCTGAACAGTCGCTATCTTAGAATAATGCCTGCCTGGCATGGGGCTATGGAAACCCGGCCGGGCGGCGAATGGAAAGAGAGGGGAGGGCTGGAGACACACTGAGGTTACGCTGATTACACTCCAATTTCAGACCCGGATTGTGCGGGGCGGGAGAGTCACTCCGGATTGACCCCGCTCGGCCACCGGCAGGTCTCAGCTCCTAGCAGGAGTATTTAGCTGCTGAGTGCTTTGGGCAGGGGACTGTGCTACTCTGTACAGCACCTAGCACATCAGAGCCTGGGCACTGGTGAATGAAACGTGATTAATGATGAGAGCCCCGACTGGAACAAAAGAGACCCCCCGTGCCCCATTCCCCACCCCCCTGAGCCAGCCAGTCCCTGCCCTGGGGCTACATGGGAGCCTGCGCCTCTTAGAGGGGACAGGCCCCAGGCCCCATTCCCTGCCCCACTGCCCCGCAATATACGGGTTAGAAATTCTGTCACCCAGGTACCAGAAACGTCCCGCTCCCCCCAGTTGCTATCGACGCTCGACACCCGCCATGGCACGGAGATGGAGCACTCCGCCCGGGCCTTGGCACGTTGCCACCCAGCCACCTCCATGGTGCTTTCACCCATCCGGCGGCCAGGTCAGCCCGACGCCAGGAGCCGCGCCCCGCCCCAGAGAGCCGCCCACTGGGGGCCACAGCTGCTAGGACATCCACCCACCCCAGGTTCATGCGGAGCCCCTCCGCCTCCATGCGCCGGATGCACCTTCGCCCCTACAATACCTCACCCTGGGCCCCACTTCAGAGGAGGGAAACTGAGGCACGGAGAAGGGACTCGCCCCTCCACTGTCACATGGCCAGGCAGTGGCAGAGGTGGCGAGAGAACCCAGGAGTCTGGTTGGGGGGCCTTAGGGAGTCCCTAACGGGGGGAAGGGTCGCTGTGGGTCCCAGTCAAGTCCAGGGCTCAATGGGGGAGTCCTGGGGGGTCTATGGGAGTCCTCAGGAGGTTCTAGTTCAACCCCCTGCTCAAAGCAGGACCAATCCCCAGATTTTTGCCCCAGATCCCTAAATGGCCCCCTCAAGGGTTGAACTCACAATCCTAGGTTTAGCAGGCCAATGCTCAGGGCCCCCGGGAGGGGGCGGGGGAGAAGGT